TGATTAACTGGATTATGGGTTTAATTGTTTTATACATGAGGCTGATCTAAGCATGAGAGGAATGGGAGTTAGAGAGGGTTTGATTTGGGGGGGTTAGGGTAAGGTATGGGAATAGGGTAGGGGTGGGGGTAGGGGTGGGGGGTGGGGGTTCAGGGTGGCATAGGGAGGTTCCCCACCTGGTCACACCTTGTTGCGATCTACTTGGGGGAAAACAGTGGTAAAACAAGGTACAGCACATTTATGGATGCTTTACACACAAACAAAATAAAGCATATGTTTGCATCAAATGACAACACTACAGTTTCTATTCATGGAAACAGATAATTACATATATTTTGGTTGGTAGCAGACAACTGGGGTGAGTAAATCCCAGTAAAGAACAGGCTCCACAATGGATTCAGATACAGTATATCAGGCCATAAGGAGAAAATAGCTGATGTGATTGGATGCTGAATGTGCCTGGTATTTTTGGAGGTAGCCTATCGCTGAAGTAAAACACAAATCAAGGTTGTCTGTGATTACGACAGGCACTTGCTTAGCTCTTGTTCTGTAATTGCACGCTGCTACAACTTCTCATACTCAACCAAAACATCAAATAAAAAGAGCCAAGAAAACAGGCTCCTTGGTAGATTTTCTATACAATAGAATTATTTTCAATAGATTTTCTATACAATAGAATTATTTTCAATAGATTTTCTATACAATAGAATTTCTATACAAATAATTGTAATAAAATAAATAGAAATATCACCCCAGCACTGAAAACCAGGTGGTCACTAGCATCTGAAGCTGACATTAAAAGGCAGTACTGCAGTTTGCAACATCAAATGTGAAATGCACCAAAAAGCTATAGATTGGGCTCAACACTTGAGTGGTTGCAGTCGGTGAGATGACAGATTCACAGATTCAACTTTGATGGGGATGCTATGGTTCGTTGTCCTTGGCACAGGCAGTTGATCAAATGGATTGCAGGCAGAATGAGCTCCGGCGTCATGCATGGTGAGTGAATGACAGCTGTCTATCAAATAGGACTTTCTATCTGGAACTGCCTATATGGGAGTGACCTGCAGCAAATAGTCTGAGTTTGATTTATCCTGCTACAGCATCGGATCAAGAACAAGATAGAATCGTAGCTACAGATATCCAAAGTGTCCAATATTAAATTAATAAATCACCATATTAAATGTTTACATGAGTAAACACACGAAAAAAATTACTATAACCATTAAAGGTTATGAGATTTAAAACATTAACATAGCAAACAACCATTAGCTATATAAAGATATAATGGAGTCATGGTGTCCTGAGCGGAGAATGATGTCACACACTTTCCTCTCTGTGCTTTGTTTACATAGCCAGTCTGGACGTGTATGCAGTGGAAAGACAGTTTTGGTGGGTTTTATTTATTTTTTGTCCACTTTGAAGTTGATGATATACAAGGTAAAATTATGTGTTTGTAAGTTTTTGTTTATGAAGTAGTTGGTTGGTAAACATTTTATATAGTACAATCAATTATATCATGAAAAACAGTTTGACTTCAAAGTTGAAAAGGCGCAGGATACATCCTGCTTAATGAGAAGACTATGCCACCTGCAGCATTGGTTAACTGAACACTGCTCTTGTCTGTATTTGACGGCCAGGCAATGAGAATTGACTGTGAAGTGTGTAAGAGAAACTGTGGTGGCCACGAAAGTCGTGAAAAACGACTCTTCGTCTATCCATTCTGGGCTACTATAGAAACATGACGGTTCAACATGGCGGACTCCATGGAAGCCGACCCTATTTTCAGGTGATTCCCACTAGTGAAAATATCCCTCTGAATATTATATTCAATTTCTGACAGTAGATCTGACAGTGTTAGACACCTTTGATGGCAAGCTACTTTTACTCTTGACCTTGTAAGTATCACCAGGTTACTACTGTAGAAGCTAGTAAGCATTATTTCATAATATCCTATTTATTTATTTAATATTGAACATTGGGCCTCCATATTATAACGGCTGTCAGTCAATGAAAAGTACTGAAAAGAGTTTCACTCAGAAAAAAGTACTCCCAAATGCTATTCAGCACACCTGTAGAACCAAACCATATGAATATATCCCCATCTCCAGTGTGATGCTGACTCGGACAGGTTAAGTAAGGTAGTAAGCTGCATCGAAATGGAAATGATGTGATAGTGTGGTCATAGGGCAGTCGTTAAAAACATATACTGTAGCTAACAGCATACATGTCATATATTTTATCTAATGTGCATGCAAAGATCCCAGAGAGATCGATATTCTCTGAGACATACTCATGCACTCTGGCAGGAGCTCCACGTGTTACATTTGCGAGCCTCTGGTGAAGTAATAACAGAGAATATGAAATTGATGGTATCATTCCAGTTCAAGCAGAGCGGTGGTGAAGCAAAGTGCAGATGAAAACACCTCCCCATCAGAGGTTCTGGGAAGATAAGGATGATGAACACGCAGGTGACATGCCCCTCCATAGCAGAGGAGAGCATGGAGGAGCCAAGCAAATGAGGGTCAAGTACAGGAAGGTCTTAGATGGATGACGAGATGGTAGTGTGTCCAAGGCACAACAGTGTACACTGCAAAAAACACCCATCCTCACAAGCAATTTCACTTCATATACTGCATGTCTTACAGCCTTTTAAAAGACAAGTACACCTGAACAGCTGTTGAAGGTGCTGATGCATCTTGTAATTCTGACAACTTTACTGAATGCTGTTTGGTCTACAATCACCACTTTGCACTAATAATCAACAATGATGCAGAGGGAAATCCAGTAAAGATAAACTCATTTTCCACTGATAGTAGGCTTTAGACCGGAAGGCAATGCAGCTGCTATGCTGTGTTTTTAGAAAAAATGCATTGTTCAATTCAGGGAATGCAGGAAATCACTGAAGGACAATAATATGGAACATTATTATAACAATATATTATACTTGTGTCTTAGTTCAAATGATGAGACATTGTAAATAAAAGATATTTTGAGCACAGATGGGTTATTTGTTTGCTTATATTCTTTGCCTGTAATTTATCTTCAAAATATAACCTGTGTACTCAATATGTCCAAATGCCCTCTCTGAACTGAGGTGCAAATATAATTCCATGGAGTAGACAAGGATGATTAACTCCTAGACCTCATCAAAAAATAACTTCTGAATTCTATTAAGAAATAAACTAAGAGAATATGTCAATGCTTTTTTTATTTTATTTTAAAGGGGACCTAAAATTATTATGCACATTTCCAGCTCTATATTTTTATTCTGGGACCCCACTAGTGTAGCTTTGCATGATTCGCAGTTTTAAAAAATCCTTTATTATTTCTCTATTTATTTATTTCTAAACAAGTCGTTTTAGCTCCTTTAAGGCTTTATCGGAAGCATGTGAGCGCTGCCTTTTACTTTTTAAAGAGTTCGGTCTACACCTGCTCTATTTGAAAAGTGTCCTGAGATAACTTCTGTTATGAATTGGCGCTATACAAATAAAATTGAATTGAATTGAATTGAATTGAATTGCTTTATCCTTTAGCCAGTGTGACAGCGTGTGAGCTCTAGAGTAACTCAGCTATAGCGATCTGGGGCACTAAATTTGATGAATTTACACTTTATCAGGACACCAATGAGGCAAGAATTAGGTTGGAAAAATGTAGTGCTTCTGGGGGCTGTTTCTCACTGATTACTGTACAAAAGCACACAACTTTTATAACTTCAATTGCTGATGTTGGTGAAAGTGGATCATATTTCCTTAGTGTAACTGTCGTTAGCTAGTTAGCTCAGTTAGCTGTGCAGCTAGCCATCCCATTAGCCGACTTTACCTGGACTGGGAGCCCGGAGCCCGGAGCCCTGGGGGAGTGTGGGTTTTTATAGAGCTAATAGAGCGACTAGCTGCATGGCTCACTGAGTTAACTAGCTAACAGCAGCTACACTTAGTGGCCAAAGTAATCGTTAACAATTAGTAAAGCAATTTGTCCATCAGGAAACCATTCCCGAAAAAAAATCTTTGCATTCAGAGCTGTCTGAAATCTGAGCTTTTTGCACACAGGATTTAACACATTTGTATTTAACCATGTTTTATATGAACATCCATCATTGTAACATTATATATGATAGAAAACAAGCAAAAGCATAAAAGGTCCCCTTTATATTTACTTTAACTGTAATAGTATCTTGTAGAAAATGGAGTTGCATTCCTCATCCTATGACAGGCCTTTAAAGAAAATTGAATTAAATTTATTTCAAGAAGTAAGACTAAATATTTGAGGAAATTACTTGTTTTTGCAGTGTAAGCCATGTATGTTTTCTCTCTCACATACATACACACACATAATGTCACAGACAGGCAAGATGAGAGAGGTAGAGGAGGCATTACCCCATGAAGCTCCTTCAAAACGATCCCAGCACAGCAAACAGGAAGAGGATTACGTCAATAAACACATTGCACACAACACTCACAGACAAGCACACACACACTTCTTGTTCCCCCAGGATATGTGCTTAAATTGTCCTGATTCATTATGCTGATGCTCACATCCTTAATTTGTATAGCTATTTACAAATATTAGCAATAGAAAATGTATGATTAGCAGACTTAGAGAAAAAAGCTTTCAGTATGTATAATAACCTTCATCACAACCACAAATCATTCATTACATTCATACACATTTGAAACAATATGAAATGAAATTGTAAAATGTCATGTCAAAGATAAAAAATACCAAAAGAAGTGTTAAAAATTCTAGAAATAACCGAGACATTGAATTATACATAATAATTATAAATCATAAAGTCACCATATTGATAATTATGTTTATATTATTATTTTGCAGACTGAATGCAGCAAGGCAGCAGTGCACATTACACATGTGTATATATATATATTACACCGGACACACCAGATTGGACCGCACCAAATGCATCCACCAAATCTGATGATCAGGATTAACGATTCACTAATCAGAGACATGACAAAAAGGTAGGAGTAAATCGAACTTACGAAAATGCAAAAGCCACCAGCGCCCCACTGACCACTATGAAGTCCAGAATGTTCCACAGGTCTCTGAAGTAGGCTCCAGGATGAAGCAGCAGTCCAAGGTCCACCATCTAAACCACAGACAGCACTGTTTTGTATTTTCATTTTTCATTTCATTTACTTGCGGTTATATTTTGGTTTAATTTATTAAATTCTGTTATTATATATTATATACATATATATATATATATATATATTATTATATTGTATATTACAAATTGACTTCATTTGTATATATAACTATGTTATTGAATCTATCGTATAATACTTTTGGTGATTATTGATTATTATACACTTTTAGTGTTTGTTTATGAATATAAAATGACTAACTTAACTAGAAATGGGATTGCCGGTAATCTCCAATTTATATGAAAATGCAGAGGATTATTGATACAAAGGGACAGTAATGCAGCCTGACATCCTGAGTGCAGCACAATGGCCACAGTGAGGTGAGGTCCTGGCACTGACTGCCTCAATACCCTCCCCACTTTCATCACTGAAGTACCTTCAGTAAGTAGAAAATGTAATGAGTCAGCGACTCAATTCTGATAAACTTTAATCAAACACACAGTAATCACAGATTGACTCTGAGGAGGAAGAGTGCAGTAAAAGACAATGAAGTCATGAGGTTATTAGTGTTTTTAAATTACACGCTTACCTTGATCACCATTTCAAAAGTGAAGACACCAGTGAAGGCGTAGTCCAGATATTTGAGCACCTGCATAAAAGATAGACTAAATTAGTGCTGAAACAGCTAATTCTATCGTCTGGGGTCTGTAATACTGTGTGTGTAAAAATCATGAATAAGTGGTTCCGAACCTTTATCCTTCAGGGACCCATTTACCATCATTGGGTACTGACGATCCCTGACTCAGTGACTTCAATTATTTTTTATATTCAATGCATAACAATAACAGTAGATAAACTGTACAATGAACCCAAACAGTGAACACAATAACTGCAGGAAGATTGTGTGATTATTTCCTTTCAATATTTATCAGAGATGAGTTTTCCTGATATTTTTATCAACTTTTTATACATTGCTTGGCCATTGTTCTATAAGGTCTTGGGTTGTTTGAACTTTTCTAATGCAGGAAGAGGCTGTTTATCAGAGAGCGAAGGCTGTGTAAAGTTTAGATCTTAAATAATAATCCAAACTTTTAAAAGTTTTGATTCTTGAATATTATAGTATTTGTGTGTAATTGTACGCTGTGTGTCTCACATTGTTGCGAGGGGCGTTTGTCCAGACAGGGTCCTCTGCTGCCAAAGCGATACTGCTCATAGCAATGACAACCAGGATGGACATCTCAAAATACCGCAGAGTCACAATGTAGTGACATAACCGCCTCACCCTGAGGAGAGAGAGGCAGGAACAGACAGAGAGGGAGAGGGAGAGAAATAGTCAGCAGCAGACACAGATATGACAAAGACCTGGCTGTGGCAAAACCCACCAATAGGTCTAAAGCAAGGATCTAATTAAAGCCAGGCATTCAGACACTATATCTCCATCAGGGGAAATGTTTAACAAAGATCTTAAAGTTTATAATGACAGTTCACAATTACTTAATGTGTCATAGAAACTGAGAATAAATCCACACAGACATAGGGCTGTGTATTGTCAAGAATTAGACAATACGATATGTATCACGAGGCAAGGTTTATGATTCAACATATTTGGAAATAGGGAATGCGTTGTGATCTTTAAAAATTCAATTTTAGTTTAACTGTTATACTATAAAATCTAAGTTTTAAAAAAAAGGTTTTTGCATTACATTTGAATTTATCACATTCCCTGTAACATCCAATATCACAGCCCTCAGTATACATTTTCAACTGCTATCAAGTTGTTGGGGGTTTAAACACAAAAAACAAAACAGTTTTTGAGAATCAATATCACAAAAATCTGTTTAAACCCATACAGTGTAGCAATATAAATTCTGTTTGCCAAACAATGGTTTGACTTCATGAATAGAGTTCATTCCATCAGCACACGTCAGTGGAGAGCTGTTAATGTCTGACATATAGACCAGCTACCACTGTCGACTGTGTGTGTATGTGTGTGTTGGTACAGTTAATTATGTTTATGCAAAGGTTTGCAAGTATACTGAGGAGATGGACACTGGTTGTGAGAGGCACTGGTCTCTTAAGGGGTTCTGCTTTACTGTTTTTAAAAAGGGGGAAAAGAGAGGGAACAGATCAACGCAGACAAAATCACTGTGGTGGTGTAGGATTGGGTGACTCCTGCTACTGATATGATGATATGCTTGTTTATAGATCTGCAGATATCACACAGTCTCTCCATTGTCTAACTTCCAGAGCATGTGGGAGGTCCTACAGGAGGTGACTTACGGATTAGTCTGTCCAAAGATGAACATGGAACTGTAAGGCAGGATGGGTCTGGGTCCACTTTGACCTAGATCCTCCCGGGTGTCATTCATAGGCATGGTCTCACAGTCGATACTGTTCGCTGGGAAGACAGATGGTTCGATTACAGCAATGCAAGCAGGAGACAGGACAGTCACACTTCAATATTAAGCGGTCTCTATGCTCACCAATTACAGTAGGTAATTTATACTGGGACCTTGACTTAACTAATTAATGATATGGCAGAGTGGCATAGAGTAACAAACCCCAGCAAATAATCACACATCTAATTTATTGTCCTCAAAAAACCATTAGATAATTAATTAGATCTCATTTTCCACCTCTGGTGGGAAGAATCTGATACAATGAAAGAATTTTCACCATTACTATTTAACCAAGGTCAGGCTGTTTGTCATAGATGTTGTCAGTCCCCGGCTGCCTACACTCATGTTTTCATTATGTCTGTGTACACAACTATTGGTTGGAAGTACATTATATAATCTGATAAATCTCAACTCCTGTTGAACCATCTGCAGTTTTATTTGGGGTTACCAAATAACTTTTTCTCCAAAGTCACATGAAAAATGTCTCATGGCTCAACTGTTAGTGGATCACAGAACAAAGAAGAGAGAGACTTAGGAAAGGTCAATTGAGTAAACAGACTTCAGAAAAAGGCACAGACCTGATGAATATCTACATCTGCCTTCTCCTGGGGTGATCATCATGTTAATAATAGGGCACCTATACAAAATTAACTGCTTGTAAAAACAGCAAAAACTGCAGACTCTTGTCTGTTTAAGAAGTACCTCCCATTGCTCTCTTCACAGTAAATGATCTGTACTTGCATATTGTACTTGTAACTATAAGAGGCTATGAAAAAAGACCTTCAACGTAATGGCTGCAATGGAAGTAATTTTAGTCATATTATGTGTGCATCCTGTAGGCCTCAGAAGGTACTGACGTTGTGCGAGGGTGGTCTCTCCGGGTGGGGAGGTGACCGTCACAGGAGGAATGTGGATGGAGGTTTGGCCAGTTCTTTTGACGTTTCTTTGGTTGTCTGAGTCCTCTGGTCGGTCAGCAGGCCAGTCAGTCCCCCCAGAGCCCTGCTGGGGGGAGATGGCTAGGGACTCCCCCTCTGAGTCACCAAACCTTTCCCTAGAAGAGAGATTGCATCTTAGATATTATGTATGTTTTTCAAATAATATCTCGCGTTGATGGCCTGCAGTTTAAACAATTGTGCTACTTGCCAACCCTGTCAGTGACATTTCATTGGACTTAACAGAGGTTGGTGGATATAGCTAAACATTTACAGACCAACAGAAACACCATTTAATATTGCAGGGTCACTGTAAAATGACAGAATGTCAGAGGTCTTCTAATAGTTCATCAATTACACTGTGGCTTTTGAAGAGGGTCTCTGATCCACGTGAGATGGGGGCTGCAATACGTGGTCTGTGGTCCATTGGCTATATTCACCGAAGCCAAAAGAAACATAGCTTATATATATCAGAATTTAACATAATTTCTCTCTATCTTTTTATGGGACATACACTGTCTTCTTTACATGAAGCTGTAGATGTGTGGCAGGCCCATGAATAGATCCATTTCATGCAAAAGTTCAAAAGCAAGCTTATTTCCGTTTTTTAAGATCTGTAATAATGAATGTGTCAGAACCATGGACAGCATCATGCCATAACTGACTGCACAGTATTATCAAACAGATGTGTGACTTAGAAACTGAATCTTTAGTTGACCACTGTTAGCTTAAATGTCCTGTAAAGTATTTTTACCTATGGCTCTGGGTCTTCTCTCTCTCGTTGGACTCCTCTCCATCAACTGTGGATTGGCCCCTGCATCCATGAGTCCGATGTCTCCTCCTTTCTCCATTCACACCACTGTCTCCTCTGGAATTCCTATCCCCGTCCCTGTTAGACGTACGTCCGTCATAGTGGCGGGATCTTCGCTCTCCCCTCCCTCCACCGTTCACAGTCCCATTGCCCCCTCTTGACTGTCGGTGTGAATGATGGCGATGCTCTCTCTCACTGGGGACTCCCCCACCCCCGCTGTCATCCACTGAGCTTTGATGGTGGTGCCTCCTGCCTCCCTCTCGGCTACGGGACCTGTCGCTCTTCCCGTCTTTGCCATGGCTGCCGTTGTGGTCTTTGGAGCGGCTGTGATGGACGTGGTGCCCGCCATCTTTGCTGGCGTCACCGTTGTCGTTTATCTCCTCTCTTGTCCTGGCCCTGTCTCTGTGGCGGTGGTGGCGCCGGGGCTGGTGAGGCACAGAAGGCAGAGCAGGGTCGGCGCCAGTCTCAGCGTCCTCCAGCATGCAGGGCTTGTGATGGTGGCGTTGGTGGCCACCCAGCAAAGGCCCGTCGCGAGGTTCGACGACCAGCGGCCGGTCGAGGTGGGTCTTCATGTCAGGCCGGATGTGGTGGGCTGAGGACAGCTCAGAGTAGAGGGCCTCGCAGCTTGCTCGGTTCTGCCTCCTCAGCTGGTTGGCCCTCTGCTCCCACACAGACATCATCTTCACTGACTTCTGCTGCTCCTTACTGGGGTAGAGGGACAAGAACCACACAAATCAAAACCACTGAGACTGATATATAAAATACTGTGCAAGTCATTTTCCAGACCCTATACTTTGATTCAGTTCAGTTCTGTCACAACAGTTTGTTATTTCTACAAAGGATATAAGCGTTTCCAATGAACACACTGACAGGCATGGTTTTCTCTGAGGTGTGACACATTCATGTACTTTACACTCAATGACTTCACAGCGCATAAAACCAGCAGTATATTTCATTTTACATCTCATGATGGCACACATAGTCCCTACATGCTGAATGATTTACAGTATGACCAAGGTGCAACGGAGCTTTCAACACAGTAAACCACTGCCTCCATTTATCACAGTTTACCATGGATATGCCTGGCCAAGCATGGCCATATTACCATGCGTTGACATGCTACTTTTTTCTGTCAATGTCCACTACAGTACTCTGAAATGGCTGAATGCATGCTCTTTTGATACTGTATGAATTAAAAACTGTCTCGTCGCCTGATTTTACAGTGGGAAATGACATGTTACAATGCCATCTCTTTCATCAAAGACGTCAATGTGTTTACTACACAGAAAAGGAACAAACAATAACTTAATCCCATGTTCTCAACGCTCCATCATCCTGCAGTTTCATTCTCCGTATTCACCTTCTACATATGTACAAGATACAAACATTCTACATATGTACAACTTTAAGAACTCCTGCTAAGAGGTGGATGGACAACATGGGACTGGAGTCACTGAATGAACAAAAAAAGCCCATAACGTGGTGTGCATGACAAGAATGCAGGAACAGCTGGGTTTTATCTATGTGGTCTTGCTTTCAAGAATGTAAATAATGAAAACATGATTTTGTATATTTCTATGCATGTAAGGATCATTATCGACCACCTTGCTAGTAGGCGGTTGGGTTTACCTCAGGTAGTGATGGACTGGGGTGCAGACATAACTCCTACAAACACATAAAGGGCAACATTGAAACAAACAGAGGGAGAGAAGGAACTTCAAACGACAGCAACAGGTTACAGACAAAAGCACATGGGGGCAAATAAGCTTCAGGAAACTGACAAGGGGAGAAACATGTACAGTAGAGACGCAAAATTATACAAAAAATCCAAAAGAAACAGTTTTTTGCTGAGAAGAAGCAGGGAAATAATAGGGACAGGTGACAAAAATACTAAACACTGAATACATACTTGACATCCAGAGTCAAACAAGGGAGTTACAGCAAATTGTTATTATTACTGATTCTTTTTTATAGCCTTGGTCTCAGTCAGGGTTTGTGCAGGTTTTGACAGGTTCAATTTAAGACTTTTTAAGACCATTATGAATGCAATTAAAAGGACCAGTGTGTAGGATTTAGTGGCATTTAGCAGCAAAGTTACAGGCTGCAACTAACTGAACACCACTTATTCCGTATTTGACAATCCAGGTGATTACCCACCTATGAATATTGCATTCCATTTCTGCCAATAGACCCCCGTAAATGTTACACACTGGACCTTTAAGACCTATTTTACGTCCATATTCGCAAAAAAAGGAGGAAGGAAAATCACTACTGGTTCCATGTTTTGTTTTGTAATTGTTGCAGCATTATCCACACAATTTTTCCCAAAAACACATTTAAATGGGGGACTGAAAATACAACTTTACAGGTAACGTTAATCCAATCAATTTTTAAAACCTGTCAAAATCCTTTTTAAGACATTTTAAGGCCTAAAATTCAGATTATTTGAGACTTTTTTAAGGCCCTGCTGACACCCTGGCAGCTGGAGTGTATAAAAACATTACAAAATCTACCAAACCTCTTCATCTCATTATTGTTAATCAATGTACAAGATTACAGTAGGTACAAAGACACCTCATTTGATGACCAATGAAAAGCTAATCAACTACTGATTCTTTGTGGTTGTTAAGTCTCTAAGGCTTCTTTCAGTGTTTTGTTGCATGGAAGATTGTTACAATGATTGTTAGAAATCAGTGTTTCTTTGTGTCCCTACAGTGTGCTGTTTGAATTCTGTCTGTGCAGTTTGACTCTAGAAGGATGTTTTCACATTCATCTGCAGAAAGTGGAAAGTTTCTCTGTGCTCATTGAATATCTGATTTTAAGGGGCGGGGCCTACCAGCAGGATTTGTGACATCACAAATAGTTTGGAAGTCAGTCCTGGTCCAGTATGCAACTTGTACAGTGTGATGTAGAAACTTGAAGCCACCAGTGCACATCCACTGAGAATGGACTTTACAGTGAAGTATGAGACATCTTGTGTCCAGCAGGAAACTTTAGAAAACATTTGCATTCTCAGAGATTCTGGAAGTTATAATGAGGTAGAAGGAGGAGATGACTTTTTATGTGGAAATTAGACTTTTTCTGTAACAAAAATATATCAGATATATTATTATAGATGAATATATTATTGTTTCAAGCTGACTTTTGTGTATATGTCTTAATACATGCCTGGAGCGGATCTTTGAAGATATTGAATATAGGAACTAAGCTAGCATTATTATATGTATTCTCAACAAATCCCTCAGTTTGTCTCTGAATACTTTTCGACTTCTCTACCCTGTCTGTTGCTCTCAGTCCCAAGTTCACTGGTTTCTATGGAAGACTTTAAAAACGCCTCACAAGTATATAATACATATTTACAACCAGCTTGGGGAAATGAATCATAGCTGCAAATATACATCATGAACACATACAGTATGAACAATGACATCTTGAAATCTACAGAAGGAGAGGTGCAGTGACTGAAAAAAAATCACTCTCAGACAGAAGGATGTCGATCACAAACACCAGATAGCATGATCACCAACACAAACACTCATGACACTTGTCGATCACAGACAAATTATAAAAACAGAATAGAGGAATGGAAATATTGAAACACACTCTATCAGAAGTTGCGAGCACAGAAGAGCTGTCGTTTTCTTTCTGGACAACTCACACAGAAGAATGACATAGTGATGACACCAGAGGAAGACAATGTTTGGCAGCAGAAGAGGATGGATGAGAGAAGGGTAATGGGAGGATTTAAACATTGTAACAGAGAGGTAATAACTCACAGTGAGTTAACGCTGCAGATGGATGAGCTGCTAGAGTGCGCGTTACCTCGACTGCGTGTTAGAAAACTGCACATGCACAAAACAAAAATGGGGGAGGGGGGAACATCATATAGGATGAAGTCAGAGAAACAGCCAGACACCATTGGACATTTCTCTGAGCCCTCTGTGTCCTTTAGCCTCCCATCACATTTCAATGCAATGAGCAGTCAAAGCTCAGAAACACAAGACTAAGAGTGAACCAGAGAGGAAATGTCACACAAACGGACTATCAGGGACATTCTGACTGCCATAGTGGCAGTTAAATCAGGGAAATACTATTCAAGCCTAGATATAAGTAGGATTATACTGGAATCTAAAAACAAGCAAAATGTCACCATAAAAAAAATAATATAACTATTACACAAAAAGCAATTTTTTGCAGATAAAGGTAAAGCTGCTCTGGATACAAGAATAATGTCATTGGTGGAGTTGAAAATAAATAATATTGAGCTAAATACCAAAAACACAGTAATGATTGGGCTTGATTACAGCAGTAAATTGTGCTGCTACGTCCATGCATGGTCAAGTCATATGATGGGAGATCAGCAGCCTGTTGAACCAGCTGTGCATAAGTTCAAACCTTGCCTAGTTATAATATAAATTATTACTAAGTTGTTATTTATGCATTACTAAAATAAAAGTGGTTGCACCATGGAGGTAAGTCACAACTTAACTCTAAGTAACTAATTAAATACATGCCCCTAAGGTGGCATAAATCATAAAATGTTACAGAAAAACACTAACTGATGGTAAAACAGCAGTTTTTCTTTCACCTATCATAATTTTTCACCAATTGCAGCCATTTGGTGACACATTAACCTAAGAAGAGAACTAATTTATTTATATGATATTTCGTTATCAATCTACGTAGCTACGATGTGCTATGATGCCAAGTGGGTCATGCCGGCCAGAAAGCTAATGCACACAGTATTATGACCTTACGTCCAAACTAGTTATCCCTGAAGTAATTGTGCTGCTACACACTTTAGTTGCTGAATTAGTTACAAACTAATTATTAGTTACTGAGCCTCTAGTGTCCACTTTACACCATAACTAAACAGAGAACTTATACATAACTAGTGCAACCAGCTGAACTTGGCATCGTTTGATTACAAACTTTGTATAATCACTTTGTGGCTTTAGTGATGGCAAAATGGCCTGCTGTGTTTCTGTTTAGAACAGAACTTATAGATGTAGAGTTCATTTAAGTGGCCGTACTTAAAGTGCAACTGGTCTCAGTTCTGGGTTAAATGGTTGGACCTTCCACTGACACTAAGATGCTCTGTTTTCCAACCCAGTTGTTCAGTAACTCTTGCATTTTACAAGAACAAGCCAAACACACATAATACCCTATAAAATGATAAACCAGGTTGATTAGAGTAGAGTCTGCTGACTGTAAAAGCCAAACCTTCGTCCTTTGCCATTCAGCTTTGTCAGATGAAGTAGTGACCATGCTCTCCAAAAACAGTTCTCCAGGAGTCTTTTTTGATTCCGCTCACTGAGGTTCAACTCCACCAAGATTATTTATGCCTCCAGAGCAGCACTCTATGTATACAACTGAGCCTCAACAGTGAATGCATAACAACACAGATTGTTACAGAATAGAAAACAGTATACAGAACAGCATCTTTAAAGTATGTAAAGTATTTGAAAAAAGGACAAAACAACACATCAAATCCCAGTTGGGGCTACATTGTTAAATAACTGGACCAATAAATAAATTAAGTATCAGTTAACATCTTAATGTACACATTTATATACTGCATTGACTGGATAATCTACAGTAAGTACATAATTAGCCTTGTGAATGCATACACTGAATTTACACTGAATTGCACAACAGCAAGTGTCTTTGCTTTTTGTTAAATATCTATCCTAAGTGCCCATTGTGGTTGCATGTCAAAAAATATAATATGATATCATGCTTATACTGGCTGTATAGGGTGTAAAAATATCTATCACTTCACTTTTAAGTAGTAATTTCTATTTATTTTATTAGGGACCCTGCAGAGATCTACAGCAGAGGTCATTTGGGAGACAGAAAACAGCCGTCTGCCTTGTGAGGAAAAGAAGTGAAGAGCAGAATGTGTGTGGGTGAGGAGATATTAACATGGACATTCACTGGGATAACTTAGTCAACATTATGCTTTGTTTCAACAAGGGGACGTCATCATCATAGAGCATGCATGAAAGTATGAGTGAAAGAGTATTTTAACAGGGCTTGTTAACACCTAAAGAGTCTACATATTTAGGCTATACGCAGAATGAAATGCTATGAGCTACAGCTATGGATTGCTGCTGTGTATCATTGTATTGAATTACTGAGTTATTCTGTGCATAGCTGTGCTGTTTCTTGATTTTCTTCTGTATCTGCATTTGTACTTTTTAGGCTAGAGTTAAGGGTTTATGCTTCAAGCAAAAAAACAAATCTGGGCACAAAATAATAGGGTAGGATGGAGGTTACATGGAGTTACATCTTCATTTGTGTATTGACATACTGGTGAACTGGTTTTTAGCATGGGAGGCAAGTTAGGGTTACAACAAAGGTACACTGAATTCCCTTCCGTCTTTTCTGTGGGTGTGTGCTCTGTTCTGAATGAGAAAATAGAGATTTCAGGAAGCCAGAACAACATTAGAAGAGGTCTACTTACGCTGTGATGGAAATGTTAGCGGCCGACATGGGGCTGACCTCCTTTACCTCCTTAGCCTTCTGGAGTGCAAGCTTCTTATTGATGGCCTCCTCTTGCTCCTCTTCATCCTAGCAGGTATGTGCAAAAAACATACATACATACATAGAGTACATACAGAAAGTACTTTTAAAGGTTGTGGCCTTTATGTAACATTATTATGACCTTTATCTGTGCAGTACAGGACACCCAGTAGATTTGAGCAACCAGGAGAGTTCAGCTGACATGTGGACACTGAACAGGCATGTCGACTCGAATAAACGTCAACACAGCTAAATTATTTTCAACCAGCCAATCAGATGTCCTCCCATAAAGTTTCAGTTTCAATATTTATTATAAGTGCAGAGAGAACCAAAACTCTATTTGAAACAGACTTATATTAGAGATGGGCCTTCATTTCAGTTTTCAGTTTACCTGTTCAGAAGAATTTACATTTTCAAAACGCTAATTCCAAGTATTTCCACACACTTCCACCTGTTAATTAAGCTACTGTTAATGAAACTCAACACTTCCTGCACAGATGTTTCACATTAAAAGTCTCCCGCCATAGGTGTAGACAAGAAGTCTTACAATGCATACAACAGGAAAACTTAAGATCCTCACTGAAAGGATCTCTGAAATCCATCCTCAAGACCTGGAGTCTCCCACTCATCTTCATCAATGACTTCACTATTACTCCTGATGCTGTTTCTTAAGTGGAGCCCGCTGGGGAGGAGAGAGAGGGACCCTCGCTGTTCCCTCCCTGTTCCCTCCCTGTGACCCTCTTTATCTGTGGCCTAGTAAGCCCTTTTCCCACCTATTTTATTCATTACTATTTTGTTTTCACAAAAGAATTAGTTATTTATTGTAGTTAAGCAAATTTATTAAATTAGTTTATTTATTTAATGTCCGTCCACACCAAGGATGATAGCTATAACAACAACTACAAATATACAACAATGGCGAACAACACGTTGGGATCACTTCCAGAGTGATTTGATGAATGATATTGTGGTTTATTTAACTAATTAAAAGCTTACACAACAAAATATCAGGCTGCAAATTACACATAAAAATGGTTGTTCATCAGTGTGGATGCTTACATTGTTATCGTTACAGTTATTACTATAGTTATTGTTCTTGGTGTGGACGGACCTTTGCTCTGCCATATAACTATGCTTCATTTTATTTTATTTTTTTAAATTTCAATTAAATCATTTTTTCTTATTCTATTTTCCTTGGGGTGTGGAGTTATTTTTCTTTGTTTATGTGATGCTGTAATGTTACTGCATTTGATGTACAGACTTTGCCATGTCTGCAGACAACCTAATAAAATGATTTGGGGAAAAAAAGAAGTGTTCAAGCAGTTCCATGGGCATGATCCCTCCCTTTTCTGGTAAGTTAAAGCAACTGAAATGAATTAGTGAATGTGTAATGACAGTATTTCTATTAGGGAAGAAAGCACTGAGAGTGACGAGTATGACATGACTCTGTTGATGTACTGACTGCAGTTAATGCTCTGGGGATGTACATTATACCTTATTATTGTTAGCTATTATAGTACAGGTCATTCCACTACACCTCAGAGATGTTTTAGGAGCAACTTTTATGGGTCAAAGTCATTTAATTGATTCTCGATTCCTCCTTTTTCAAGAGTAAGATCGAATTAGCACATCCTCACTAGGATTTGCAACCGGACAAGATGTCCAGAAGAGAACTTAGGTAATTTGCTTACATAGTTGAACAGCTTCTTCTTCAGTGGTGACCAATAACAACTGTTCATTGCGATGACTTACTGAAACTTGATGTACACCAGTCATACTATAAATTGGACAGTATTATGAAAGCAGCAAACCAAGGTACCCTCATATCCTGCAAATATTCTCTGTTCTCTCTCTTTTATAAAAAAAAAAAAAAAGGGATAAAAAGCCATGTGCATGTGGGATTTGATTTAAGTTAAAGGACTTTTATTGATGGATTCAGTTGGTAAGACGGTGCCACTTCTTTTATCTCTGACTGTAAACTGCTATAAAGCCAGCATATATCAAGCTATAAAGACATACTGTACCTTAGTGAGCTCCTGGGCATTTGCAAGGTTATCAACAGCAATGGCCAAGAACACGTTGAGGAGTGTGTCTGGTTATTTGTGGTCTCAGGAAAAGATCAAATGATTGATGAACACAGAATCAATACTTACAATTGCAGCTGTTCTTCATATCAATGATAAATGATTTCATTGTGCTGTGAGGCTGCCTGACAGCCACAAAGTTGAATCAATTTGGATCAATTGGGTAGGATACAGTTTCCAAAGAGAGTGAGAACAATGAAATAAATGGAGGAGAACATTCCCCTGTGAACACCCCCCTGTGACTCGATCCCATGGTACATGACCGCATTCCAGTCCTCCCCAGTTAGGATCTGCAGGAGAGACACAGCCAAGTCCAGTTCAGTGGCACAAACAGAGAAAGAAGAAAAAGAAAGAAACATGATGGAGTTGACCTTTACCTGGAAGACAGTGAGAATCGCTGCTGGGAATGTGTCAAAGTTGGTTGTTGGCGTTTCGTCTTCAAAATTAAACCTGCAGGGAGGAACAAACAGAATGTAATCAAGCTCCACATTCACTCCTCCACCTACTGGAGGACGGAGCAGCTTATTGCCCGCTCCATTAGGTCGCACACTATTCCAGCACAATATATGCCTATTACATTTGAGTCGTCTGAGTGCCTAGTCTATGCGACCTTAAGGCTGATCTCTGAGTGTTTATTCTTCTCAAATCAAGTTGTGCTAATGCTGACATTTTGTATCTCTGTCTGTCTACTGGGACCTAATTACATCTCCCCCCAACGTGAGGGATGCAGACAGAGAAGGTCAGAATGCCAGCAGAATTTGTCTTGTGCCTTCTTAAAATCCATGAGAGCTTTTTTCTTTAGACTGGATCTCATTAAAAGACAACCACAGAAAGTAGACAGGGAAAACTGCATGTATTTCAGGAGCCTGTGAAATATGTTTTTATTCTACTCAAATTCTGCGGGGAGTCCCCCCGCTTTAAATATAATTAGGTACATTTCTGTGAAGTTTCGATGTTACAATGACATGCAAGGTAAAATTACCATTCTTCTGGTGGCAAGTTTGTTTGTTTGTTTGTTTGTTTGTTTGTTTGTTTGTTTATTAAGATCCCCATTAGCTTCTGTATACCAGTTGCTATTCTTCCTGGGGTCCAAACAGTATATATGGTGACAATACTATACAAATACACACTCACATTACTCATCACAATACACTGACAGAACGCATTGAAACGCACATATGCTGTAGATAAGACAATAACAATTAACGCACTCTATAGACAAACACAAAAAACAAAAACAACAAAAAGACTGGCTCCGATTGAATTTATCATAAATTAACAAAAATATCCTCATGATCTAACAGATAAGTATCAAAGAGTACTTATTAATTACTTAGTTTCCTTTTAAATATGCTCTTTTAGCATTTAAAAAAAAAACATATTTATAATTTTGTTGAATAATATGATTAGGAACTGAATTCCACTCTAGCATTTCCTCGATATTACTCTACGCTGAATTGATGTGGTTTAGGATTTTGGTAAAGTAAAACAACCTCCAGCAGCGTGCCTTGTAAAATAACTGTGTGTATCCGTGCTAAAGGATAGTCTTTTGTAGAACATCAATGGAGTCTTTGTTGTCATGAAATTCCTAATAAAAACCATCAGTCAATACAGTAATGTATTTTTCAATTCAAGCCAAGAGAGACATTCTAGAAATGTTTGTTCCTCTCCCACAAGAAAGAGCTACATGTCATTTTCGGATATTACCCAGTGAAGTATTGGACCAAACTATTGAGCAATAATCCACGTTACTCAAAACCAAAGCTTAAAGTGACCGGTGGCTGTTTCTGGATAAAAAAAAGGGTCTATCTTTGTATGGATCCTTTCCATAATGCTGTCAGACACTGAGAATAACAATCTGAGCCTGTCAGCGGCAAAAACAAGCACTGTTAGTCGATGTACTTTAACATGTGCATTTGTCCATTAGGATTAACATTATCTTGCAGCACTTTTCAAAAATACTTTTGCATCTAACCCTGTGAATTAAGGGTTTATTCCAACCAAACCAGCACTGGTGATTGTTAGAAATACGTTTTTGATGAGTTTCATATTATTTCTGCCCCTTTGTTTTGGTCTGATGCTGATGCTGATACTCTAGTGCAATGTCCAGTGGCAAGTAAATGTTGTATATATAACCTTTAAATATTCATACGTCCCACTATCTCTAAGTGCATAAAAATATTGATAGTGGCTGAGGACTGAATCATGTTGCCTCCAACAGCATTGCGGTTGGGGAACACAGTAGGGATGTTAAGATTCACCAAATCCACGGTTCGGTTCAGACCTCGATTTTTGAGCCACGGTTCGGGTCATACCGAGGTTTTCCCCGTTTCCCCATTTTGCAGAGAAACAGAGAGAGAGAGAGACGTTATCTGATATTACATTAAGCGTATACGGCAGAAATCTTACATTACGGAGCGTCAGTGAACGCACCACTGCAGATGTCACTCACTAACGTTACTTTCGGTTTGGACCCACATGTGGCGCACTTGAAAACTGAATCACGGGTGAGTTTATAAAATGTAGTGCGGATGGAGAAAGTCAGCAGAGACACACACAGGGAGAGAGAGAGAGAAAGAGGCGGAGCAAGCGGGCGTGTTTGCCGTGAGTGACCAGAGGTCCAGGCTAGGTGTGTGTGCTGTGTGTGAGTGTGGGGAGAAGAGAAAGGGAGCAGATTAAAGTAGTAAATAAACACTAAAATAAGGTGGAAAATGACCTAGAATAACCTGCTGTCAATACAAATACGAGATAGGCGTACACCGCTACCACCCCACGGGCCACCGCCACCGCCGCAGTTACACTGTCTTAACGAGAGCTCAACAGTCCAGAGAGCGAGTGTGTCGCGGTTCTGTCTCTCAGATCCGCGACACGAGACCATGGGCTTTTGTGTCGCGATTTCGGAACTGTTACAACCCTAGAACACAGACTTAACTTAATTATATTAATTAATATGGAATACATATGACCTTGGGTAAGACTGTACATCTTTTCTGGGATTATGGACCACAATCAAGTAAATTGCGTTGATTCCAAGAGTACAGACATATGATGTCTTCAGATCTGACTGACTGAGAAGAAGTGTACAATTTTTTATTTTGGAACTCCATCAAGAGCCCCTGGTGGTCACCACACCCCAAAGTTGGAGCCGCTGATCAATAGCTGTGTTTTATTTCTTTACAATGAGCTGCAGGAGTAGAAACAAAGAACTCACTGGCCACCAAACAGCTGCATGCCCAGCAGAGCGAAGACCACAATGAAGAGGAAGAGCAGGAACAACAGGCTGATGATAGACTTCATGGAGTTGAGCAGGGATACCACAAGATTCCTCAAAGAGTTCCAGTACCTACACACACAGAATATATGCAGAAATATTATGGCGTAACCAGTGTTCCCAGCACACAGGCAGACATTTCTGATGACTCACTTGGTGACTTTGAAGATCCTGAGCAGTCTCAGAGCACGCAAAACACTGATCCCAAATGAGGCCCCGGGTTTGATGGCAGCCCAGATCACCTCAAAAATACTGCCAATGATGACCTGTGAACACAGTCTGATAAATGCAGCAGACCTCCACAGCTTTCATTATACAATCATTATATCACTCAAATACAGTACACTGCAATCACTTTTTGCCAATCGGCACAATAATCAAGCACATTCTGTCCCCCTGAAAGACCGGTCCTGAATCATTTTCACACAGGACGACTCACCCCAAAGTCAAAACAGTTGAATGAAGAGTGGAAGTAGTTCTGGGGTCCGAGGCCATACATTTTCATGGACATCTCTGCCAAAAACAGGCCCAGGAATACAAACTCGGCCAGGTCTGTCCAGGGACAATGAGGAAACACACAGATCAATGCCCTGGGTTAAAAAGGGCCTCCCTGCTGATTTCCACAATTCAGCTGGGCTACTGCTGCCTGTACAGCTGTGCCCACAGCAAATAAGACACAAGAAACAGTCTATTATTTAAGGGAATAGCTGCTGTATCCTCGCATGATGGAGTGTGTGAGGAGTATTTGCACGTGTTTCTGCAGTTTGTCCTAAGTCCCAATCAGTATTATCTTCTTAAGCATAAAAATAAACAAGGATAAGAGTAGCAGTTAAATTACAGTTAAGTAACCCTTCGTATGTCCCGCCCCTTTTTGCTCTGTGCTCCAATAACAGTTGAGCGAGCCTCAGTCAGAACCTCGGTCAACTTCCTCCTTTCCTGTACTTAGATATGCTATGTGTTAGGCTAATCTATGTTGAAAAGACAAAACAAAATTATGAAGATTGTTAAAAGGTAAAAGCGATAATATATATATATATATACACACACACATACACACACACACACACACATATACATATCTTAAGTTAGCAAATGTTAGTTAACTAGCTAGCTAATTTACGTCAACTGTTAGCTAGCTAGTTACATCTGATAACTAATGTTGTTGTTAATGATTAGCTACGCTTTTGACCATCTTCAAAATGTGGTTGTCTTTTCAACATAGAAATGCCGAGCACATAGCATATCTAAGCACAGGAAAGGAGGAAGTTGACCGAGGTTCCAAAAGGGGCAGGACCTAGCATTAGGATTTATCGAGGTTGGTCTAAATCCAAATCCATCAAGCCTAAACTCAAGCCTCCAGCATCCCCTTCGTAGGGTTGGAGGACTAGACTAGAGACTAGAGCAGGAATTAGAAAAAGTTACTTGTGCAAATTAAGTAAAAAGCACGGCTTTATTTTTTGGGTTTTTATTTATCTATTAGTTTTCTGTTTTGGTCATTTGGCTTTGAGTGAATAATGTATCACTGAAACATTTTGGTAATAATCACTGGACACACAATTTTCTTTCTCTCTCTCAGATCTTGAACAAACATTTTTGACTGATCTTGTAGTAAGGAGTCGTTTTATACTCTTATATATGCATTTCCCTTTTTCTTCCCCCCGGTACTTACATAGAGCAGAGGTAAGCCAGTCAGGCTGGTCATAATGTACTATGGCTACACACAATGTGTTGAGGCCAACCAGACACAACACAGTCCAGTAGAAGCTCTGAGACTTGACCAGACGGCGGATGTTGAATCGAATCCTCTTCTCTTTTCTCCTGAAGTAAGATGAGTTCTTGTTCTTGCCCTTCTCACTGCCCCGGGTGTACGGCGACCCTTGGGGGGCAGTTGGAACAAAACACACAAAATGGCAATACAGTTATCAAGTCTAAAACTGAGGTGGCCTTACCAAACCAAGACTGTGATATACCTGACATACACACATGCAACCACTTAAAGGGACACTTCACCCATTTGCATTAAGCTTTGTATCATTAGAACCCCAGTCATATTTTTGAATGGTCGTGCATCATTCCCTCACTTTCCCTGAGAGGGGAGAAATAAGGATTTTAGTGTTGCACTTCCTGCTTCCAATGATGTAAAAATCGTCATTTTGCGTCACTGGAAGCAGGAAGTCTCATATCTCTGTAGAGGGGGTGAGACTACAAACACTACTTCCTCATTTTGTTTTTCACTCACGCTACAGACCTATTACAGATCAGTGGGTGGGACTTCACCTGCAGAAACTAAAAAATATAACTGCCATCTTGTTTGGAAGCCAAGTGGAGGCGCTGTCGGGCCAGACGTTACGACTATGGTAATCAATGTAATATGGAAGAAATTTCTAAAGTATGATGGTCGAATCAGATGTTCGTGGCTACCTTTATGAGCCGCAATATAGCGAAGAGCAGCTGAGGCTTCTGCAGCCGAGGCAGAGGACCTGCCTGTCGCGGACAAGGAGCCCGGACTGGCTCGAGCTGGGGCGGACTGCTGGTGCCTGTGCTCTCGCTGTGCGCCTACGGACACACGGACGTCTGACTGTAAAGTGAGTGTTTCTATTTTCTGTCTTATAACAACGTGGCATGTATGTATATAATTTGTTCAAGTATTATCACAAAGTTATTCCCGGTTAATACGTAACGTCAGCCAACTGAACTAACGTTTCCTTCTTTACTGCACAAACAGCTTGCAGTTGCATTGCTAACTACTGTGGCACGCTAAACACAAAGACCATGCATCCCTAACTGTGTGCTCAATGTCTTGTAGACAATATCGCCTAACAGCCTTTCTGGAATGGATCCTGCAAGGCGAGAGATCGGGTTGAGGCCATCGTGTCGTTTTACCCGCTTATGTGGTGCAGGCTATCCGACAGAAACATCCAGCTCCAGATGGCCAGTACTGCGGCACCGAGGAGTTGAGGACGCTCAGGAGGAACTATAACTGTCATTGTTAACATATCTATTTTTGTTGTTGTTGATATATTTCTGTAAATAAATGGTTTACATTCACGTTGTTGTAGTCCTTGATAGTGTTAGTGGGAGCGGCTTGCGGAGCTGTGCACTGTGGGAGTTGTTGTCTTTTATACAAATGCGCCCTAAAGTCACTTTCTGTCTTTTCTTTTTCAAATAGGCACCAAATTCAAAATGTATGTTACATTTCAACTACATATATAACCCACTTTCAATAAATATTAATGTTTCCACGGGTGAAATGCTCCCTTAACTTGATAACATGGAATATACGCGGCTTCCGTAACCAATCCAAAAGACTCAAAGTAATTAATTATCTAATAAAATTAAGGCTGATATTTGCTTCCTACAAGAAACACATTTAACAGACACAGAATTGCAGTATCTTAAATTTAGACAATTCGACAAAATATACTATATATACTCACATATAACAGCAAACAAAGATGTGTCTCTATTTTAATAAATAAAGATATTCAGTTCTCACTAAACCAATCTATCATGGACCCAGACATACAACATTTACACTGGCAAACATTTATGGCCCCAACAATGATGATCCATCTTTTTTCCATAATCTCTTCTCCATATTACCAAATTCAAACAACCTGATCATAGCAGGAGACTTCATTACTGTCATCAATCCCACAATTGACCGCTCAAGCACCTCTGGCAACTTAAGAAACTGGCACTCCACTGACATAATAAAGCAATATATGGAGGACTGTGGCCTTAGCGACAGTTGGAGAATGAGGAACCCTTCTTTGAGGGAATATTCATATTTTTCAACAGTTCACCAATGTTCATCTAGAATCAACCTATTTATCATCAGTAACTCGCTAATAACCAAGATATCAGATAACACAATCCATCCAATTGTAATCAGTGATCACGCCCCTGTCTCTCTGTCTATAAGCACTCAAAGACATGCTAAAACTTCAGCTACTTGGCGCTTCAATACCTCACTGTTAGAAGACCCCAACTTTACAACCCTTATAAGGCAAGAGTGGGCATTCTTTCTGGAGATGAACGACTCTCCAGACACCTCACCTTCACTGCTGTGGGAAACTGGGAAGGCCGTAATCAGAGGAAAAATCATATCGTACTCTTCATACAGGAAAAAACAGCAACAACAATTGGAAAATACATCAGAACAAAAAATCAAACTCCTAACAAATGAAATATCCCGCCATCCCAGTGAACCAAAACAGAAGGAATGAAAGGAACTCAGAACACAACTTGATGATATGATACAGGAAAAAACACAATTTAAAATTCAGCAACTGAAATATAATGGTTTTCAATACAGTAATAAAGCAAACAGTAAATATTTAGCAAATCTACTCCAACACAAGGAAGAGAAATCAATCATCCCAGCCATCTTGGACTCCACAGGAAACATTAATCAAAACCCACAGAATATAAATAACATATTTCAGAATTTCTACAGCAACCTCTATTCCCCCACTCACCAACCGACCCAATCAGAAATCGACACCTTCTTAAACAGTCTGACATTACCAAAATTAACTGCAGAACAAACCAACATTCTAGACACACCCCTTAGCCTTAATGAACTTACCAAAGCACTCAATAAAATTCCTAGCAACAAGTCTCACAGACCAGATGGATTACCAGCCGAATTCTACCGACACTTTTGGGACATATTATCACCACTATTCAACAGAGTAATTATAGAAATAAAAACTTCCTCCACCATACCCACACATGAATACAGCAGCCATGACATTACTGTTAAAACCCAACAAAGATCCATCTCACCCCTCTAGCTACCGACCTCTCTCACTATTGAATACTGACTTGAAAATGACCACTCAAGCACTAGCAACCAGAATAGAAACAGTCACACCCACACTTATTCATCCAGATCAGACAGGCTTCATAAAAAATAGACACGCCACAGATAAAGTCCGCAGACTTTTCAACCTATTCAATATATTACAAGAAAGACAACAGAAAACCATTATCATTTCACTTGATGCAGAAAAAGCTTTCGATAAGGTACGTTTTTATTCAATACACTTCACAAATTTGGTTTTGGAGAATCGTTCATCCACTGGATTAAAATACTGTACACATCACCCAGGGCCACCATCACCACTAACGGAATCACTTCACAGAGTTTCACACTGCATCTTGGCACCAGACAGGGATGCCCCCTCTCGCCTTCCCTCTTTGCCATTTTCATTGAACCTCTCGCAGCAGCAATACGACAAAACAGCATAATCAAAGGAATTCAGGTAGCCAACGTACAACACACAATCAGTTTATATGCAGATGATCTTTTACTTTATTTGCAGAACCCACAAGTATCACTTCAAGAAACGTTCAATATCATCAACAGAATTTTACTACCCCTCTCAGATGATGCTTGGGATTCTGGAGCCCAGGACACTTCCCTCCACCTTCACACAGACAACATCAAGTACCTAGGGATTCAGATTTCCCCCAGGCTGTCAGAGCTTTTCACCCTCAACTACACTCCCCTCCTCAGGAAAATTGAAGACGAATACATTGTGGTAAACTCTCACTCACACTCATCGGAAGAATAGCTGCAGTCAAAATGAAAACCCTACCCCAGATTAACTACCTTTTTTCTATGATCCCCACCACTCCTACAGACAAATTCACAAACTCTCAATTCATTAACAACACAATTTTATTGGAAAAACCAAAAACCCTGAATATCAATCACAACTCTACAAAATAAAAAATCACATGGGGGGTTGAGGCACCAAACTTCCATCACTACTTCCTGGCAAATCAATTACAGTACCTATATAAATGGATTAATATACACAAGCACAATTACCCATGGCTGGAATTGGAACAAAACCAATGCTCAAATATCTCAATTGCAGACCTCCCCTTTCTCTCACAATCAATCAAGAGATCCAACTTCTGCCAACACTTTACCATCCATTCAACTCTGACAGCCTGGTGGGAAACAAACCAAATCACAAAATCATCACTAGAATTATAAAAGTTCACCCCACTGTGGCACAATCCAGTGTTCATGATACAGAACAAACCTCTTTATTTTGCCACATGGGCAAAATAAGGAATCACACATCTTCACCACCTATTTGAGAACAACCATTTCATGTCATTTAACACACTCACACAGAAATATGGGGTTGGGAGAGAACAATTCCTTCAATATCAACAACTTAGACTTAAAATTAAAGATAAAACCGGACTCACCAACAACACATTACAACCCTCTCAGCTTATAGAAGAACTTATGAAAATTAATAACTTCAAGAAATTAACCTCCCAGCTACATACAATGATTTCCAACCTAAACACAAAAATAACACTCCCAACAACCAAGTGGGAAACTGACCTGGCCTTCTCTCCCAACCTTGATTTCTGGGAACAAATCTGTGAAAACACATTTACCATAACCGATAACACAAACCTGCAGCTTATACAATATAAAGTAATTCACAGAACTCACATCACCCAAAGTAAAATGTTCAAAATGGGCCTAGTCAACACAGGTATCTGTTCACAATGCACTTTAGGTAGCATAGATGTCTATTTGCAAGCCATATGGTTCATTCAACCAGTTCATTCTTTCTGGATTACAGTCACTGAGACACTGTCCACCATCCTGAGCTACAGAATCCCATCATCCCCTACACTATGTCTCCTTGGTGACATCTCCGAAATCCACATCCCGCAAAAATTCAAGAATCCGTTGCTCATCTCTCTAGTTGTCGCTAAGAAAGTAGTCCTCCAAAACTGGAAATCAAAGAAATCTTGCCACATCAATCACTGGACAAATTTAATCTCAGAACACATTTCAATGGAAAAATACAATGCACACAGAAGGAAGCAAAT